CCAGCAGCAGCAACAGCAGCAGCAGCAGCAACAGCAACAGCAGCAGCAGCAGCAGCAACAGCTGCAGCAATTTTCGATGTTTTGCATGCGGCGATGCGACCTCTCTTTGGCTTTGTCTGGTTTGCGCTTACTGCGGTACAATCAAAACCCTAAACCCTAAACCCTAAACCCTAAACCCTAAGCTTCCCTCTCTCTCATATATATATTATATATTTGTACAGTAGCAATAATGTATATATACATGGATGCATAATAATATATTTATTATTTTAAGATAAACAATAAAAATATATTTATCTCCGCCTTAATACCTCTGCATTTAACAGATATTATTATTACAATTTTTCCTATAATTTGCTGCTGCTGCTGCTGCTGTTGCTGCTGCTGCTGCTGCTGCTGCTGCTGCTGGTGCATGCAGGTTGCGGGCGCTACCGTGGAGGGCATGCACAGCGGCATTCTTTTTTATGTCTTCACGCATTTTGTTTGAGTTTGTCTTCGTCTCTTGTCTGGGATTACACTGCAGACAAATTTGTACAGGCAGTCTCGCCTCCTGCTTCTTTTCGTCAACCCCACAGCGCTGCTACCAATTGTGCTGCTGCTGCTGCTGCTGCTGCAGCTGCAGGAGCAGCAGCAGTAGGAGTGGGGGCTGCAGCGGGTGGAGGAGCAGCAGATGCAGCAAAAGCGGATGCAGCAGCTGCTGCTGAGGCAACACAAACACCTTTATCAGCAGCAACAGCAACAGCAGCAACAGCAGCAGCAGCAGCAGCAGGGAAGAACGTACATCAGGATAACAAGCTGCAGACAGACAGCACAAGAATCAAAGATAAAACAAACAGCAGCAACAATAATACTGCATTACAAACAGGGGGCCCCCCTGTGAGGCACAGCTCGATAGGTATATCAACAAAACAAAGAAAATCTCGTCGACAGAAAACTGCTTCCTCTCGCAGCAGTGCTGCTGCTGCTGCTGCTGCTGCTGAACTGTCGCCTTCTGCTTCTGCTGCTCTTGCTGCTGCTGCTGCTAGTTGTCAGCATCAGCAGCAGCAAGGTGCTGAAGCGGAAGGAGCTCCTCCATCAGGGGTGCAGGACAAGCAACAAAAAGCTGCAGCAGCAAACGAAACCCCGTTGCAGCAGCAGCAGCAGCAGCAGCAACAGCAGCAACAGGAGGAGGAGGAAGAGAGTAGCGTGAGTTACGACGAGGAAGAAGAAGAAGTTGCTGCTTCTGCTGCTGCAGCAGCAGCAGCAGCAGCGGAGGCAACAGCTGCAGCAGCAGCAGCAACAGCAGCAGCATGCAGCAGCTCTGTCTCCTCCTCTGTGTCTGTCAGCAGCAGTTTGATGTCTCCTGCAGCAACAGCAGAAGAAGATCAAGAGAGACAGCTAAGCCAGATCCTCGCCTCTCAGCTTGAATATCAAAGAGAGATATACGAGGTATCTGCTGCTGCAGCACCTGCTGCTTGTCTCCTTCTGTCTCCTTCTGTCTCCTTCTGTCTCCTTCTGTCTTTCTCTCTGTTTTTGTCTGTCTCTGTCTGTCTCTGTCTCTCTGATCTCTCGCTCTCTCTCTCTTTTTATATTTATCTCTCTTCGTCTCCCTTTGTCTCTTCACATATATACTATATTTTTATTTATTTATTTATTTATTTATTTATTTATTTATTTATTTATTTATTTATTTAGGTGCGTCTGCATGCGCTTGCGAGTGCGTGGCTGACGGAGTTAGAAATAAAAAATGCACAGATGAAACTCCTCGAAGAAAAAGCAACGAAAATACAAGTAAAGCTTTTTACTGTCTCTTCTTATTTATCTGTCTCCTTTGCTATGTTTATCTGTCTCCTTATCTATATTTATTTGTCTCCTTTGCTATGCGTATCTGTCTCCTATATTTATCTGTCTCTTCTTATTTATCTGTCTCCTTTGCTATGTTTATCTGTCTCCTTTGCTATGTTTATCTGTCTCCTTTGCTATGTTTGTCTGTCTCCTTCGCTATATTTATCTGTCTCTTCTTATTTATCTGTCTCCTTTGCTATGTTTATCTGTCTCCTTTTTTGTATTTATTTGTCTCGTTTTTCGCTGTCTTATCGTATTTATCTGTCTCCTTTTCTGTATTTATCTGTCTCCTTTTCTATTTATATATATATATATACATATATATACATATATATATATATGTATATATATATATATATGCATATATATGTATATATATATGTCTCCTTTTCAAGTGTCTCCTTTTCTCTATTATCTGTCTCCTTTTC